CGGGGGTGGTGGGGGGTGGGGTGGGAGCTGCCCCTTCCTGCACAGGCCTGGCCCCAGGCAGAACCACCCGTGGGCCAGCGCCTGCCCCCCTTTCCTCAAAGGGAGCCCATGGTGCTGCCATCCACCACCCTGTGCTGCCCATCAGTAGCCTGCGGAGCCGCACGTATGACTGGCTGTGGGAAAGTGGCACAGCAGTGGTGGCGGCACGGGATGGTGGGTGGCATTGGCAGCAGTGGTTGCCGTGTGCAAGCCCCCATCCCCGACCAGCTGGTTGGGCAGTGCACGTGCAGCCCAAAGGGGGGTGCTGCTGCCTCAGGCCCCCCCGGCCCTGCTCCTGGAAGCGGGCACAGAGAGCGAGCTGAGGTGTGGGGTGGGGTGGGGTGGGGAGGCACTGCGGTGTGCTGCATGGGGCCCGCGGCACCCAGTATGCCCCTCCCTCTCCTCCGGTTAAGAAGCAAAGTATGGGAATGCACTGGGGGTGCGCTCCATGGTGTGCTCTGTCCCCGCCTGCCTGCCCACCTAAGTGTACCTCCTACAGCCCTTCTAAGTACCCCTAGGGGTACGCATACTCCCTGAAATAGACTTAAAAAAAGCAAATGTGTGTTGTCATTTCACAGGCATAGTAATTGGATACAAGGCAATTTGATGTTAGGTGGTGAAATGAATATCTGCATCTTGGAGCAGATCACCGCATAATCTGATTGCTTGATTATGGTCAAGCCTATTGTATAATGTGTTGTAACATAGTTTATTTTAGCTGCAAGCAAAGTGGGGGTATGTTTGTGCCACAGTGCAGAAGTCAGGTGGCACTAATCTCATAAGAACACATGCCTTGTCATGTTTCATTGTCCAATACTGATACTGAAAACTGTCCTGTGCACAACTGAATTGCTGACTCCATTTAGTTGCTGTCAGGCATTCTTTGCTCCAAAGACTTTTGTAGCTTTCTTATTCCTTTTTATGCTCTTTTTATTTCTCAAAGGATGAAGCCTACTAATGTGATCTGCATATTTTCCCTTCTGTGAGGATCAGGAAAAAGATAATTTTAAACATGTAACTAATTCTGCAAACCCAAGTGATTTGAGAGGTCTTTACAGAACCTTGCTTGGACTGCACAAATGATCATGTATCAGACTGTCTTTTAGGCTGGCTCCAATCTTAGAGTTCAAGAACTTTCTCCCACTGCCTTGCTTGAATTCTGTAGAATGTTTAATGGTGTTTGAAATCTCACTCTGTCTTTGCCAAATATAAAAGCCTTGTGTGGCATCCCACTACAGAAAAAGTCAACCTGTACCTACAACATATGTTGCTTGACATTTCCCTAGCGCTCAGGGTTCTCTCTGCTTCACCCACCTGCCAGACTCTCAGTTTAAAGTTAAGCAAGATGCATTGATATTGCCAATTGACAATATGCAAATTATTCTACCAGATTCTCATGTCACACACAGCTCTGCTGGAGCCTGCTGCCTTTGCATTTGGATACATAGCTGTACCTGCTGTCTGAATGGAAGGCTGAAGTGTAACAGGATAACTGAATCTACTGCATAGCAAATTGATATGGGACCTCTCCCATGAATCATGTTACTGTCAGGTGCTGAAACAACGCTAATGATACAGAATAATTTTTCTGAATCACAGTGACAGAGGGCTGCTGTTAACTTCTATCCCAGGTCTGACAGGGGTGGAGCATTTCTCTGAAAACAGGGAATTAGTGGAATCCTGCAGAGATAAACAATACTTTTAAGGCAAGTTCAAACTGAAGGATAGGTTGAGATTTAAATTAACAATAAAGGCAAACCCCAGGACAGAGGCAAGTATTGGCTGAAAAAGTGCTGTATATATGGCTAACCTCTAGCAGAACAGAGCTGGAGGTTATGCAGTAAGTTACATCACCCCAACCTTCATTAGAGAGCCACTTTCAGAGTCACTGGGTGCATCTACACAGGCACTTTACTATGGAGTTGACAAATTAGCTCTGCAGCAAAGCATCACCATCTACATGTGTGCCAGTATTAGAGCACAATAAATTAATTAATTCTGCTGTAGGTTCATGTGGTTGGGGACAGCACTATCCTATGCCAGAGTAATTTACTCTGCCAAAATGCACATGTAGAAGGTGACAGGGGCTGGCTGGGGCACAAAGGTGCTTATGTGCAGGGGCTGCCTGCTGCTTCCATACTCTCATGCCCTAGCCAGCCCTGACTGCCACCTGGAGCCTGGGGATGACTCCCTGAGCCCACTGTCAGCCCAGTGCTGCTCCACCCTGGCTCAAAGTGCTGCAGTCCTGGGCACATGTATATATGCTGTGCCCAGGAGCAGCTGAGTCCTGCACAAACTGCACTGAAGTTTATCGTGTTGCATTAATTGCACGTGTGATGCAGCCACTGTGAATTTATACTTACCACATCTACAAATAAGACCTGATTCTTTTCTCTCATGCAGTGTATATTGTCTTTATGCCCTTGTAAATGTTATATTTCATACCAGCCCCCAGTTTAGCCTAGTTTTCAACTGAGGGTCCTACGTTTGAGAGGAATGCAGTATAAGGGAGTCTCTATAGAAAAAAGAAAGATCCTTCAGAAAAAAAAGAAACCAGGATCTTCTGATTTTAGTGTTTTGAAAGTGTACATTCTGATAGAGGAAGAGTGGAGCAGCAGGCAAGATTTCTTGGTATACGTGCTCAGTAACTGGTCAGACTTATTCATAGTAAGCTAAATTCCAGCTCACTTTCACACACCTGAACTGCACTTAACGCAGCAGCAACGTAACAGTAGCTTTTGGCACTATATCAGTACAAATGGACAAAAGCACCATTGCCTTAAATCTGAACGAAACACATTAAGTTAGACTAGTTTAATCCAGCTGATACTGATATTGGAGCAGACAGACAGAACAGTTGTATCAATTCAGTGTGATATAGTAAATCAGTATAATTTTAAGCTGGTTCATCTATCTTTACCCTAATTCATACGAGTCATAAATAGAATCCCAGTGTATCTATCTTCACTTTTGTTCAGCTTGCATTTTTGTTTCACTAATCAAAGGATATATTGATGGTAAATTGTCATGATTTACCTCCAGTGCTTTTTTTTAATTATTTGTTTGTTTTTTGTAGGTTGAAAGGAAATGGGGGTGAGGTACACGCTAAACGAATAGCAAACCTGTGGGACCTGCAGAACAACTATGACATTGTTGTCAATTGTACGGGCATTGGATCCAGAGAGCTTATTGGTGACTTAAAGATATACCCTGTCAGAGGTCAAGTGCTCAAGGTTCATGCACCTTGGCTAAATCACTTCATCCGGGATGGAGATGGATTAAGCTATATCTACCCAGGAATACACAATGTAACGTTGGGCGGGACAAGGGAGAAGGACAGCTGGAATCTGTCCCCAGATCCTAACATTAGCAAAGACATATTTGACAAATGTTGTGCTCTTGAACCCTCACTTCAAAAAGCGCAGGACATAAAGGTGAGGGTCGGTCTGCGGCCATCCAGGTTAGCTGTGAGGCTCCAGAAAGAGATACTGGTCCAAGGTGAGAAAAAATTGCCTGTGGTCCACAACTATGGACATGGTTCAGGTGGTTTTTCAATGCACTGGGGCGCTGCCAAAAAGGCTGCCCGACTGGTGGGAGAATGCATTGCTAGTCTGCAGGACTCTCTTCCAAAGGCCAAGCTCTAAACTAAATGGCCTCCTTTTTCAGTTAGCAGTAGGATAATGATGGGTGCATCTACATGTCACCCTATGGTGACATTGTTACTGTGCCGTGCTTTAGTACTTCCTTTTGGGTTTTATTTTACTAATAGATTTATTGGGCAACACCATCCAAAACAAAGTACTAAAGCACGGCTCAGTGTTGCACTACATAATTCCTAAGGAAGTACTAAAGCATGGTGCAGTAACTGCCCAGACTGCGCCATAAGTGTGGCGCATGGTTATTTTTAGCTGCTACTTTGCCATAGTAGCATGCTATAATGGGGGACTGTGCCACTACTGTGAAGTAGCTACCAGTTACATGTAGACCTACATGATGGATACATTGCCGTAACGTGTCACTACCGTGACTTAGTGTGACATGTAGGTACTCCCATTAAATCTATTACTAAAATCTTCAGAATGTTATTCTGAAGCAAATGTAAGGGTCCATGTGCCACATTTTTGCCCATGGCTGAGTTCCAGTTGGCCACAGGAGACCAGAGGGAAGCCAGAGAATTTCTCTGGAATAATCTTACTCAAAATTAGAGCAACTTCAGGTATGCTTTAATGTACGTTGCTTTTGGAAGGTCAGTAATGGATCATCCATCAGTGAAATGAGTTCTGCTCTACTTTGTCCCTTTCAGGCCTAACATACCTCCAGCAAACCGCTTCTCCTTCCAGACTTTCCCTCTTCAAGGAGTAGGAGGGCAGCTGGCACAGGAACCATTCCGTTGCTTGCCTCCGCAAGGATAACAAAAGACATAGACTTTTAGTAGAGAATCTGGCGCTGTCTCTTTCCTTTAGCTAAGAACATAATTCCAGAGTTAATTCAGTATAAAATTAGCTATCTGAGGGACAGAATCAACATGTTAACACAGATAAAGCAAAAAAGATCCCAAACAAACTTAAAAAACAATACTATATAGATGATTTGTTATGATCACTTGAAAGATTTCTTCCCTAAAGAAGTGTGTAGACTGTAGATCTTCTCCAAAGTTTGATTAATGCAGAGTAATGCTTCACAAGCCACATGCCTGATAACAATGTACCTACACATAGCACTGCAGTTGGATTCAGACATTTGGTTATGCAGTGAGTACCAAAAATCTCTGCAGAAAAAGCTTTCACCAGAAAATCCTACACCTGCAATTGCTTTAATCTAGTCCATCTAGTTTCAGTAGTTCCCAACATTTTATGTAACTCTTTGTTTATTTCCAGTAATGGTTTTCATATTGCAAGCTACAGTATGACTCAATGCATTAGCAGATTTTAACTTTTGATACTGGAAATAAAACATAACTCAGTGGGTCTGGACTGCATTTGCAAATGGCTGTTCTCTCATTTGTGTAATGAGTGTATTATGCCTACCTGAGAATGTTAACATTCATTAGAAATGCCAGGCTGAGCAGCCTCTGCCCAGACAGTGATATCCCCTTTTTACCATAGGACAGAACAACATTCAGTTCTTGAGCCACACTAAATTCCTCAGTTCTGACCTGGAGGAACTATCTTTGGAGTAAGTCTCAGGGCCGCTTATTCTTGATTACATGAATCCAAGAGTCAGTCTTTCAGCTATGGAGCCCTGGTACATGTTAGTGTCCTGGCCACTTTCCCTTTTCCTGAACAATCTTATGCAGGGTATTATAGAGACCACTGTGATAAATATATTCTGTTAAGGAGTTCCATGACCATTATGATATTAAAGCCATATATGCCAGCTCTATAGCTGTTTGGCTTCTCTGGAGCAGTGGAAGCAATTGGAACAGAACTGAGGATCCATTCTAGCATGTCTAAAATTTTATATAGCCAGGCTCAATGACCAAGTCCTATGGTCCCATATTCTTCATCTGGTATTCTCATTGCTACGAAGATTTACTGTACTTTATGTCGAAGGAGGCTGTAGGTAAGTAAATATCCTTCATATAGTGCAAGCCAAAGCTGTTCAGCTGGAATTCATGTGCATGTGTGTATGCATATGCACACACACCCACCCCTTAACAGAAATTAGCTTCTTCCAGACAGCTGATGCTACAATACAATAAAAATTAGGGTTTTTTCTAAATTGTTTTCAGTGGTTGTGTCTACACGAGCGTTTGATCTAGAAGCAGTTTACTCATGTGTAAAATACTCACGGGTAAATGCCCCCAGGCAGGTGTCTACACATGCAGAGACTCAGGAGCAAATTTGCTGCTCATGACAGCAATCTGCTCCCACCCCTGCTGGCCCTGTAACAGCCCCTGCAGCAACCTGGGTGGAGCTCTAGACCCACCCTAGGTGCTAGCCCAGGGGCTGGCATGGGGCCAGGAGACAGCTGTCTCCTGGAAAAGATAAGAATCTCCCAGTCCCCATTCCCCAATCATGGTATGGGAGCCAGAGGCTGGGAGCTCCCTGCTGCTAGGGCAGGGGGACATAGTCCCTGCCTAGGCTCCAGTGGTGGAGCCCACCCTGATAGCATGTAGCTCCCGTAGGGCAGGGAGCATTCTCCTGTCCCCTGCTGCTTGGCTGACCAAGAGCACATTTGCTCCTGATAAGAGCAGATTTACTCATAATAAGAGCAGTTTACTGTACAGTAAGCATGTGCAAGTGTAGATGTGCACGCTTACTGCACAGTGAACTGCACTACTGCTCAGTAAAGCATCTTGTGTAGACGTACCCAATGTAGTCTAATTCCCTCCTGCAATTTCCCCAACTTTCACTATATTTACTTTATTGCAGTGCAGAATTGTGCAGTGTGTTAACTTATGGTTTTATTTGCATCACTGAGATTCTGGTGGCTGCATAATCTTACACTACAATGCAGAGCATTCTAAGAAAACCATTTCTAGGGAAATTGATAATATTGTCTACAGTTCTGTGGGGCTTGTCTTTTGTCTTTGTGCAAACATCTTGTTTTTACCTGAGTCCTTCAGGCTTTGCTGCCACATGTGCCATCTTCAGGTTTTTCCCCGTTACCTGCAGCCCTGGCATGTCTGTCCCTTACAGAGTTGGGTTGTTCTTCTTGTTTTTGAACATGAACTTGTACAGGGCTTACTTAGCCTTCAGCCACTTCTTGCTGCTTCTTCACAGGGTTTGTCAGTCTGGTTCCCTCCTCACCTTGGGCTGATGTGAACACTCCAGAAGGACCACAAGGATCTTAAATGAAACAAACATTATGATAAAAAGTATAAAAATTAGGGTTATTCAAGATAAAAACTATAAAGACAAACAGCTAGAACTGAACGTGAGACTATTATGGAAGTGCTGCTTAACATTTTATCACTGAACTGAGTTGAATTTTGCATTGAAAACATGGATTCAGCCATTTGTTATTTATAAAGTTTACAGTGTATTATCCCCAAAACACTTGCTCTTTAATTACAGAATAAATTTTCTGAGATTTTACAAGTAAATCTGTTATTTAGTTTATGAGTTAAAAATACTTTTAAAGTGACTCATTAGAAATTTAGCACCCCGTATCAATCATTTTTGTCCCAATTTATCTCCATAACAAGCCAAAACATACAATTCGCTAGGCTAGATTTGATTTCTCTTTTTGGATTAAAAGTCTTTTTTTGCTGTTATTTCTCATAACTGGAAGTATCTCATTTAGTAAGTGCTGTGAAGTAATGCTATTCTACAGAGGATTCCACAAAAAATGCATCATTTAAAAATAGCTTCCAAATCCTATCACTCTCACTGAGACCAAAGCTATAATTAAGCTTATAAAGTATACCTTCCTACAGTTTTCGAAAAGAGTTAAAGTCAAAGTGGTCCTTGAAAGCAAAAGGATGAGGCAATTCAAGTAAGGGAAATAATGAAGGGAAAAAAATACAAAAAACCCAACCAAACAAAAAACTCCCAATAAAACCAACTTGATATGTTTTTAAAAAGCAGTTTAATAATCTGGAACAAAAAACATTATTCTGCATTAATCATAATAACTAGATGCTTATTGCCTGGTGTTACTACAAAGCAGTGTTATAACCCTAATTGTGCAGTTCTATGCATTTGGATTTCTTTTCAATTAATCTTAATTCTGAAAGTCTTGATTTTGTGGCTTAGCCCATACTTAATCAGAGATGTTTTGCCTCCTTTTAATGGTCAGATCATACAGAGATTTAGGAATTTCCTATGGCCTCTGCATTATCAGGCATGAGTGTTGTAGCCAAAGCAGTAGAAACTCATGCTTTTAGAATCAGAGTTTCAGGTTTTATTCTTTTTGCCAAGGATTCACCCACATACCGTATGTCTTGTTACATATGTTTTTGAGATAGTTACAATATTTCTGTAATGTTTTCACCATTAAATTATTGCTATGTGCTCTCAACCTTACAAATCTCCATTTCCAATAGTTTCGTCTGATAGTCTAAGGAAGGTTCAATCTCCTAATTGCATAGTAGAGAAAAAGAAATTCATGTTGTTTACTTCAGTAGCCCAACCTTAACTGCTATTGTGTGGTTTTCAATCATCAGTCATGTGAGGATCTTCGAGATCCTATCCTAAGATCCTTTCCAGATAGTCTCTGAGGTAAAGGTTCTGTTTTGTTAGCTACGTAGTTCTTGTATAAGTATGAAGGATAAGTATATGCCTGCAGGTACCTGTAGCAATCTGCAAACTTTACTTTGGGCATTTATACATGTGCTTTGAGAGGCATGTGTGGGGGGCACTTTAATTAGAGAGCCACACTGATTAAAAGTGCCCGAGCGTCACGTGTATCAGCATCCCCATGCTGAAAAAATTGTGGCAGGGCACTTTGAACTAAAGCTTATTCAATAAGCTTTAGGTCAAAACACTTTGCCACCATTTTTCAGCCCAGAGATGCTGATACATGTGATGCTGGAGGATGCTGGAGCTCATTAATTTCTGTGCTCCAGCAGACTCAATTAGCTCCAAGACACTGGATATACAGCACATCAGAGCAGTTTCCCTGCATGTGTAGAAGTGCCCTTTGTTTTGTGAAGACCATTTTGATTATATTTCCTCTCTGTGCCTTCACCTTGGCTCTGGAGCTTCCATACTGAGCTGAATTATGTAGAATGTGTCAGGAGAAATTCTTGGCCCTGGCAGCAAGTTACAAGTGAAGGATCATTAGAGCTTGATGGCCTTCTATCCAAATAAATTACAGTGGGTGCATCTACACAAGACACTTAACAGCTAATTATCATAGTTTACTGTGAAGTAAGCACATGGTTTACACATGCACATGCTTACTTCACAGTAAATCTCCCTAATCCTGAGTAAATTTGCTAACTTCAAATGCATGTAGCAAATTTACTTGCCTTTAGTAACGGTGCCGTAGCTTTCATGTAGATTCCTGGCTGGGAGCCAAATCTGCTCCCAGTCAGCTATCCAGGACGGGGTAGGAGATAGTTCCCTGCTCCTGGGAGCTGCTCTGCCACAGGAGCCCGGGTGGGGACTATGTCTCCCTGCCCCGGCAGCAGGGAGCTCCAAGCTCCCAGATCCCGATCACAGACCATGGTCACAGGGATCAGGCTGGAAGACCCTTATCTCTCAGCAGCAGCTCCATGACTGCGGAGCCACTTCCGGAAGATGCATAGCTCCCAGCCGGAGCCCCACAGTCGCAAGCTCCCCAGCTTGTTCCCTGCCCAGCTCCACACTCACAGACCTGGGTGAGGAACAAGCTCCCCAGCCCCCACCTGCAGGGAGCTCCCAGCACTGGCTCCGCAACTGCAGACCCACTGCTGGGACATGCTTATTTCCCAGCCTGAGCCCCCTGGTTGCAGGGCTTGGGCTGGAAAATGCTTATCTCCCAGCAGTGGACCTGCAGTTACTGGCACTGGGAGCTCCCTGTAGGCGGGGGCTGGGGAGCTTGTTCCTTGCCCAGCTCTGTAAGTGTGGAGCTGGAGTGAGAAACAGGCTGGGGAGCTTGTTCTCCCTTCAGCTCCATGAGCATGGAGCTGAAGGGGGAACAAGCTCCCCAGCCTGCTGTGTGTCTCCCCCCCCCCAGCTCTGTGCTCACAGAGCTTGGTGGGGAACAAGCTCCCCAGCCCCAACTCTGCAATTGTAATTGGGATTACAGAGCAGGGGCTGGGAGCTCTCTGCATGGGAGCAGTTCCCCACCCAGCCTGGACCTGGCTGAGATCTGCCCCTGACTGGGACAGTTCCCAGCCATACCCAGGCTGAGCAGGCAAGCATGTGAAGCCTGGAGTTAGTTGGGGACTGTCCTGTTTCAGGCAGTCCCCAGCCAGCTCTGGGCTGCACATGCAGATTTCCCTATGCAGCCTGGGGCTGGCAGGTACTGTCATGGTAAGGGGCAGGTCCTAGTCCCTTGCCTTAGAGAGAGCTGCAGGGGTGGGGCAGGTCCCAGCTGCCTGCCCCA